GAAACAGGAGCTCACCCTGCTAACGCGAAGGCTGGACTCGAACCGCTGAAGCGTTACTTCAGAAACACTGGTTTCCAAATATTATGTTTCATCAAGGAACTTTGTTCTTGTTATAATCTAATGAAGACAGAAAAAAGTCCAGCTCCTATGGATGCAACAATCCACTTTACACAGCCTCAGTTTGTTCCAGGATGCAAATCTGATACACAATCTGGAACAAAAGATTATGTTGGATAGTGCAGATACCTTTCCCCCTAGATCTTTCCAGTGTCTGTAGAAAATACAGCATCAACATTTGATATCTAAATCAAGCTATCATAATATCAGCTCTTCTGTTAATACCTCTGCTACTATAAATAAGAAAGGATGGAACATTTATCAAGCATGTGGCCAAATCATCAGCAGTTTCTTTCTATTTTGAATGGCAAGCAATGTCAAAGGTGGCTCGTCCTCACCATCATATGCATAGCATAGTTCCATAGTCACTAGAATTTCTCCAAGAAGGTGAAATCCACTGATCAATTATTTGTTATCTCTACATTTATTAAAACCCATTGATAAGCTTATTTTCATTCAAAATAATTTGTTTAATATTTCGCTGTTGATAATACTCCACCATTCAAGAGAGTGCAATCTTCCATAAACAGTTTTGCTTTAAACCATGTCTGGTCCTACATTTTGTAATGTCTTGTGTTCATTTAGTCCTGTTCCCAGTATCACTTGGAAGAGATCAGATGGCATCCCATTGGCCAGAAAAATCAATACATCCAAAGGAATCCTTGAAATCCCAGATTTTCAACAGGAAGATGAAGCTTCTTATGAATGTATTGCAAGAAATGTACAAGGAAGAGATGTTGCCCGGGGCCAACTGTTTACATATGGTGAGCAAATTGATTTGGTTACAGACAGAATACTAGTGATGTTTTAGGGAAAATATTTAAATGCTTAGTTCTCACAGGATATTATTAAGAGCAAAAATATCTGAATTCATTAAAAGTATTGGAGAGTTGAAACTTAAAATTCATTTTAGAATTCAGTGAATATATTGTAAGATGCTGTACATCAATGGAGATTAGACAAATAAAGGTTAATGTAAATAGATAATGACCATTTTAAAGAACTCAGCACAAACTATCTGAATTTGCCACAGACAAGTAGCACTGTATATCATGGCTGGATTTTCATGTGACTCTATGCCATAGTTTGTTTAGTAATGACTTATTGAATATACTACAACTGACTAGGTACACAGAAGATGTGAAAACATAAAACAATAGCTGAGTTCATACAACAACTAAAACAAAAGGAGGCAAGACATGTTTTGATTGGCATAATGTGTGAACACTTGCAATATATCAGTGTTCAATATTTTAGACTAGGATGAATGGATCAGAGCCAGAATGACAGGTGAATTGGATGCACTGCATTGGGAAAGGATAGAATTGTTAGGAGAGACATGGGGGAAAGCATCTATTGTTATATTCTAATTGTGGACTTTCATATACAAATTGCCTCCTTAAAATGTACGTGGCCAGGTTTCTTTTTTAATAGATTTTAATGTCAATTTATGTTTTTGATTGGTTATATTGCCAAAATTTTGGGACAACATACACTAAAAATAGTTACAATAACTTTTTCTTTGTTGCTACAGCTGTTCCAGAATGGAACAAAACCATTGAGAATGCACAGCTCTCTCTTTATGAAACTTTAGTTTGGGAATGTGAAGCAACTGGTCACCCAAAACCTTCATATAGTTGGTTTAAAAATGGTAAACCGCTTATATCAGAGGTAAGATGTGTATTAGATTTGGATTCTGTTGAAAATCACCACTTCACCCTATCTTTCGGATGCTTTTATTTTTTGAAGTTAACTACAGCTATAGTGCTAAATAAGATAAGATGCATCCCCACTCATTTGTTTGCTAAAATAGATGTGTTGACTCTACCAGAGGCTCAACCCTTATTTCAGTGCTTAAAAAAACTTCCTGTCACTATAAGATGGCAAATTGTTACTGAATTGTAGCTAAGTAATCCTAGGTTTTTTTGTTTTGTTTTGTTTTTTTTTGGGGGGGGGGCTAAGTCGAAAAAAAGATGATCAGGATTTGCAAAGTTTTTAAAGCCACCAGCACATCTTGTGGTAATAAGTCTTCTAATATAGTTATGCACTATATGAAAAAGGAAGGATCATGTAGCACATCTCCACTATAGCACTACCAAGCAGCTTCTCCTGTAAGTGTCTTAGTGATAAATATGAATTCCTGCATGAAGGAGGCCCTTAATCTACATTGCCATACAGAAGCTTCTGTGCTATCCAGAATTCCTGAAAGCATGGTGTTCTGGACTGTATGGAAACTTCACATGTATTCCACTCAAAGCATGGATTCCTGGATAAATAACTATGTCTGATCCATTATATTAGGGTTGGAGTTATGCAGCACCCAATTAATATTTCGAAGCCTAAATGTCTGAAGAGGAATATACTCTTTTGAATCTATAATAAATCAGTTTCCTTGGGTGATACCAAGTTTTAGCATTATATGAATGTGGGATCAATCTCGTATTATCTTTTCCTGGAGTTTAAAGATAAATTATCAGTAACAGTATAATAAAAAAAAATTATAGATTTATTATGTATCTACTTTTGTCAGTTCAGATCATCCTAAACTTGTTCATTTGCCTATTGTTTTTATTTGTGCATGTTATTCACCAAATTGCTTATTTAGTTCAAAAGAAAATCAACTGAGAAAGATTGGGAGGTTGAGTTTCACATGACATAAAATACCAGAATTAAATGTTTTGATGTGTCTATGTGTGAGAGAGACAGAGAGAGGGGAATTCATTCTAAGGACATTCAAAGCTTGGAGGTAGAATAAAGCACAGATAAGTTATTAGTAAAAGACCGTTCTCTAACAGTAAAAACTACTGGAGTGTTGTTAATTAGTTTTTCTGTAGCAGCCATGCAACCTGAGGGTGTGTTCTCATCAAAATGTTAAGCTAAGCAGAATTGGAATGGGTCAGTTCTAAGGGGATAATTTTCTAAAGGACTTTTGGAGTGCTAAGCAAATTATTTTTAAAAATGTCTTGATGCTACTACTATCTTCACAAAGCATGTGACAATTTCATGCAACTGACTTTGTCTTAAATAATTATACATTTACTCATAATGCATCCACCCAGAATTAGATCCCATATAATGATAATCAAGAGATCCTACACCTGAAATCTAGTCTCATTCACTGAATGGAAAGGATAGGTGGCGAATATTAATAGGGAGAGGGCGCTACATCTGTCTTTTACCTGTAGCTAACGTTGTGATTCCTACTGGTTATTCAGTATAGCATTTGAAAGAGGTGTCTATGAGACATTCATCTGTATGTGCTGAATGCCCATTATTAGGAACCCTGTGTGATTGCATGGTGTTTCTACATGTATAAAGACTTCTATATGAGATCACACAGGGCAATTCTGTGTATTGGATATAAATGTGGTATGTGAATTAATTTGCATATCATATGATAATACATGCATTTCAGATTTACTTATTCCATTTCTGCCACTGTAGACTGTGCAAAATTATAAAATATAAAATCATAAAATGTACAGCCATTATATTACCTTGACTAGAAGGGTATTACATTTGTTTAAAAGCAATGTTTGTGGGGAAACTATTACAGAACAAGGAATTACTATTATTTATGTAAAATTATGAACGCGTCTCATAAGATGTTGGGAAATTTGAAATGCAGCTTCCTTCCCATTCAAGCAGAGGCCATTTCTTCTCTTCCCATTTTAAACATGTATTTATTTTATTTATTTATATGGCTGCCCATCTTACATACAAACTCTAGGCGGCTAACAACAATTTAAATATATATATATATTTACACTATATATATATAGTGTAAAAGCTCTGTCAACAACAGTGCAGACATTGGAGTCATTTGGTTATGAACTGTTGCCTTTCTTACTTTTGAAGGAAAGAATTCAAATTGAAAATGGCACTCTTACTATAAGTATGCTGAACGTTTTGGATTCCGGTCTCTATCAGTGTGTGGCAGAAAACAAATATGACTCCATTTATTCCAATGCTGAGTTAAGAGTCATGGGTAAGTTTAAGGCTGAAAAAAAGTAAATAGGACAACAGAGATTTAAAACAAGTAAAATTTCTTAAAAGTTTATTAGGAAGACAATTTTAAATAAGAAAATGCATGCATATCATAAGGAAAAAAAGAAGGAATTTGGGGGAGATGGACGGCATATAAATTTAATAAATAAACAACAAACAAACAAATTATGTACTGCCCTATTCAGAAAGAAATCTAATTGAATTTAGTGGATCTTGCTGCCAGTTAATGTGTGTAGGACTGCAGCCTCATTCATTTCTATGTGTTAAGGCATGTTTATAGAGCACATGTGTGTAACTTTGGGGTGTCAAGGACTGCATCTTATCTTTGGATGGTTTGTGAGGGCTACATCTCCTCTATGATGTAAACTATAGAAATGTACGTGTTACTGCAAATGTATTAATTTAATACAGTTAATATGAATACTCTCCATATATTTTAATATTCCCTTTTTCTATCATATTAAATTTTTCAATATGCTATTAAATCATGGAGAGTCTCTAAGGGCCATACCCAACATTTTTGATGGGACCACACATGGCTTGGAGCTTCAGGTTTTGCTCCTTAGCTCCAAAGTTGTTTTCTTATTTTACTTATTTATAGCTTCAGCTCCTGATTTTTCTAAACATCCCATGAAAAAAACTTCAGTCGTCCATGTGGGAGGTGAAATAACCATTGGATGCAAACCAAATGCCTCTCCCAGGGCTGTTATTAGTTGGAAAAAAGGCACTGAAACTCTACAGCAAGGTAAAAGGTATGCCTATGTATAGGTATGCCTATTTTTTTTAAATCTTTTATATGAGCAGTATTGCAACCTTTGCATGTCAAATCTTGACAGGGCCCAAACAGAAGGAGACTATTCCAGACATGAGATCTTAAAACTCTGTTGTCTTTAAAAAGCTGATCTACATATCTGATCATAAACTGCTTTTTCAGTTCCACTGAGTTTCAGAAGTAGGGCCATAGTTGTTCAAAACCAAAAGCCTTCTCAAATTTAGGGTCATAGAACCCATTTGGCAACCTCTGGCAACAGAGAGAAGATTTTTGGGAAGTCCAAAAAAGACTTCATAGCACCATAATTGATCAAATGTAAGAATGTACTAAATGCCTTCAAGATCTTAATAAAATGGATCAGAATCTTAGTCTTTACATCAGTCTATGTTTCTCTAACACTGCCTGTTCCTCTAAGCTAAGTTTTATCTTTTGTATTTCTGCCTGTTCTACAGACCAAGGAAATCTTCACTTTGTTGAAATCTTCACTCCACAAGCTGCTTTATTTGTTCAGTCTGAACAGAAAGGCAACAAGTTCACTGGGGATATCAGGGTTACAGATATTCTGAAGATATTTATGAATAACTCAAGAGTATGCATCTGGGTTAAATGTGTCCCTAATTGTGGCCTTGGCCTGCTTTTAAGTAATTCACCAGTAGTACCCATTTGCTTCACACTCCTCAGGACTGGATGCTATTTCCTCACTTGCTTTATAATAGTATAATTATTTCATTTGATTGCTTCACTACTGTGAGGTCTGTAAAATAGAAGAATGAGGAGAGGACCCATAAAGCAATTTGGGTACAGAAATGACTTGATCCCAAATAAGGAAGAATAGATTTTAAGTGCCAGGCTAAGACAATGGATTGATATTTAACTGATGTGTATCATTCCTCTTTAAACCACTTGAGGCAAAGCATTTGCTCTGTGTGTGTGATCTTTTTTTTCACCAAGCCTTGGGTGTTATGCATGTCAGCCTGAGGGTAGTAGAAGATGGTGTCAATTACTGCTATATCTTGAGTTGTAAAGTATTTGGTCCTGTCCTGACCAAGATGGAAATAGGGGGTGGATACTTTAATTTAAAATAAACATTCAGCTTGGGTTCTTTAAGAAATGTTCATCTCATATATTAACATAAGAAGATGTCTGATTGACAGGCCCACCAAGCTGGGATTTTGTATCATGAAAAAGGTGAGAGAATAAACAAATGGTTATGCATAATAACCAATGATTAATTGACCTTGGAGAAAAAGAAAGCTGGATATAAAATGTATTGATGTAAAACTCATGGGAAAACGGAACTGAATTTTCAGTTTTCTATGGATGGTGCTACCCTATGCTTGTTTTTGCCATTGTACTTTTTATACTGTTGCACTACAAAATCTCAGGCTGAAATATTACAAATGGGATTCAAATAACAGACAGGCTTCACATATTTTAGTAGGCTTTATAAAAACAACTAAAGGCTATTGGATAGATGAATAATACTTAATATCCTCATTTCCATTTTGTTGGTTTTTTCCTTTTTCCTTTTTTTCTTTGCTTGGGGGCAAATTGTTTTTATTAATTCATTTTTAAACAGTCATACCCAAAATAAAAATGAACAATTCACCACACACAAAAAGAAAAAAAATCATCCAACAGAAAACAATTTTACAAACCTGTAATTACAACTATATGCCAAGTTTTAAAGATTTTGTAAGACTTTAAAAGGGGAAACTAAGCTTTCAGTGTTCTCCAAGAATTTTCTCCAAAGGGAGAGAGAAAGTGACATTTTCTAATTAGCAAAATATATAATTTTCTCAATAATTGCTAAATGATATATCTCTGAAATCTAATACATTATATCTGGAACTACAGTATTTCTTCCATTTCCTAAAGTTTATTATTTTTGTTGTTGTTAGAGCATGGTTGGCATTTTCCATGTTGTTTTCTTCCATACTATATTAGGCTTTCAGTTTTGACAGAGAAAAAATGGTGGAAAGATGTGGCTGAATACAAAGCTGGATTTTTAATACTAAGTTGTTCTTTTCAATGTTATTATCTGCAAAAAGAAAAAAAAGTTAAGGTATTCTATAGTACTATTTATCTGCATTAATTCTTTAAAACATGTTGAACCCTTTTTAAGTTCCATTCATGGATTTTTAAAATATGTGGTTGAATTTACTTTTTTATTATCAAATCATTCTTTCTAATATTCTTTTTTCCCCTCTTTCTTTTTTGACCTTTTTTTATCTAGTAGCATATACATTTGTAGCAGCTCCTATAACTAGACCTTATTACTCTATTCTCATCTCAGTAGAAAGTTCTTCTCCATTTCCAGATTTAAAAAACAAAAAAAATTAAATGGACTTTAGGTTAGAATCAGGACTATTCAAGTTACAGTACATTAGGAAGTTTCAGGACTGAGACAAAATTAACGCAAATTGTTCTCTTCTCTTGATGACATGCTAGTATTAACTAATATAACTTCTAGTGGACCAATGGGATTGATTCTTCATTATCTAACTTTAATTAATCACTGCAGCTTTATTTTTGATTAAAGAGTGAAATGACAGAAATCAAAGCCATAGATTTCCCTTCATGCTTCAAGTCATCACATATTGCATCATCTACTGAGATATGAGATTTATGCAAAATTTTAGACTATTCAGCAGAATCATTTTCTTTTTCTAACTGCCTCTCTGGCCAATTGAAATTTAACACTATCTTGTACTAATAAGCACTGCCGCTGCAGTTCTGCTATAGTTCTATTTTCACTTCTCAAAATTATAAATATAATTTAAACTTGTGGTTTATCCAGTAGCAAAGCAGCAACTTTAGGTACAAATTCCTGTAAACAACACAATGTGAATTAATAATTGTAATTATTGCCCTGACTATTTATTTATTAGGTTTGTATCCCATTTTTCCTTCAGGAGCACAGGGTGGCATACATAGCACTCCTTTAATTTTTCCCATAAACAATTATTCTATGAGGTTGGATGGGCTAATAGAAAGTCATTGGTCCAAAGTCACTGAGTAAGCAGGAGGCTGACCAACCTGACCTGCTGTGTTGTGAACCAGCAACCTTCTTCTTAAAAACAGGTGTTATAACTCTGATGTTTTTATAATATTTATGGTAGCTCTAAATGGTAATAGAGACCATGGTAAGCATTGACTCAATTGAATGAATGTTCCTGCCTGTGTAAAACTGCCAACAAATTGCTGGGGTTAGTGTACAAAACTTGTGCTATCCAAAATCAATAGGAGCGCTCGAGGTGACATAACATGGAAAAGTGTACTATGGAAGTAAAGCAGAAAAACACATCCTCAGATCACTTTGATGGTGAATGGGGAATCAATAGGGGGTGATGCTGTAAAGCCCTTACAACAGTTATCCAGGCTTGGTTACAATGCAATACACTTTATGTGGACTGCCTTGAAAAGGTGCAGGGATCATATGATACTTGTACTGAAAGATCTGCATTGGGTGTAGGTTGTCTAGTATGCACAATTTAAAGTGCTGATCTTGATATTTAAAGCCTTAAATAGCTTAGGCCCTGATTACCACTCTTGCGGTGAACCTGCCTGGTTACATCAATCAGTAGAAGAGTCCCTTCCGAAGATGTCCATGGTTCCAGAAGTACATGGAAAAGTGCCTTCTGCTTGTGACTCCCAGGTTATGAAATGTACTCTTCAAGGAGATGGATTTAACTCTCAGTCTCATAGCATTTATTAAGTTGTTAAAAACTTCTCTTTCATCAAGCTTTTAATTGCAAATTATTTTAATGATTGGTTTTAATTTTGAAATAAATTGTTGACCATCATCACATTAATTATAATTGCATAAAGAAGTACTTCCTTTTATCAGTCCTCTATCTCCCTGCACTTAGGTTTAATGTTTTAAAATTGTGAGAAACAGACAAAATCTATATCTTCCATGTCATGCAGGATTTTATATGTCCTCTATATATTCTAAAAAGTGTGAACACTTTAATCATTCCTAGCTCCCTTTCTGCAGATTTTCCATTTCTACAATTTCTTTTTTTAAATGTGACTACAATTTTACAGAGTATTCGAAGTGTGTTCTTACCTAAATTTCCTTCCACCCAGCACTTCTTACATGTACTGTAGATAAAGTTGCTGCTCTAGGAATAATAACATCCTTGATCCGACAAGAGAGTTTTCTGTTTATTTTTCTTTTGTTATATATCTGCTATAGGACAGAAAGCATTAACAGAAAGTAAAGATGGATTAGGAGTAATTTATCCTAGACAGAAGGTCACAAATATCCATTTAAATTATCTGTAAACCATTTAATTACTACATTAATTACATTAATTTAGGCTCATAGGAGACTGCTTCAATTCACTATCCACTGTAAGCATGAACAACTAACAGTAGAATTACACATAATAATGACATTATGCCTATCTGAGATTTTTCCAGATAATCTGAGATTAGTAACACTTTTTGTTATGTACAACAAAACATACAAGTCATCTAGGACTCAAATCCAAATAAAGTGTATCGAACAGGATAACTGAATATGAAAGTAATTTCCCTATGATAACATTAAAGTGTATGCTATTTAGTAAGTGGTAGTATTCTTATTTTTGAATTGGCCAAGGTTGAAGCCCAAGGTATTCCTGGAGCTGCCTACCTATCATCTGTAAGGAATGCCCCGTTCGTCAAGAGAAACTCCCGTGACACGTGTGTTTCACAAAGAGATTTACTCAAGCGTAATGCAACAGTTACAAACAAAGCCAGGACTGGCTGGGCACATTTCGTGGTACAATTTATAGCTCTCCCCTGCCCGCATTTCGCCTGGTCGTCAAGTTACATGTTATGGATTATCGATACCCCAATAATCCCCCTTAATGTTCCAAATGGCAGGTTCAGCCCGTTTCCCATTGTCCCTAGATTCCTCTGCCCCTCCGGCATAGTCTTGTTTCCCCAGGGTCCTTTCCGTTGTGTGCAAAACCGGGGTTTTCTCAATCG